ACATCTTTGTTGGTATGTGGTGCTGAGGATCGAACCCAGGCCGCACGCATGCCAGGCGAGCGCGCTACCGCTTGAGCCACATCCCCAGCCCTCACCTCTGAAAATTCTTACCTTGTCTTGCACATGAGTTTTTGGGGAGAACCTCATATCTGAAGCATTAACACTTGGTCACCAGAATCAGCTAGCTTCCTGTATAAGCTCAGGAAATGTTATTGCAGGCCTGGGCCTGTAAGACTTGTGGGCACTTGGGAGGAGAAGCAATGTTGCAGTCTGTTCCCTGCCACCACCACTGTGCTGCAGTGGCACCCAGTGGTCCACATTCTGGGGCAGTTGCTGGCTGCCCCTCCAAGGTCTCTTTCCAACTTCCTCGCTGCTAGGATTTCTGTGACCTTCATGTGTACCCAGGAGTGTTGAGGAATGTAGGCTGCGGTGGGGGATAGGGGAGCAGGGATGTGATGTGTGGGGTGGGCTGCAGGCCACAGCTAGAGCCAGCAAATGTGAGAGACAGTGACCAAGCACTTGTGGTTCCAAACTGAGGCTGATGTCCTGAAAAGCCACCTTGGCTCATTCTGAAGTAGCATCTGTCAGATTGTATTCAGGAGGGGCTGGCAGAGGGGCTGCAAAACTCAGAAGCCTTCCTGCCAAACACTGCAGCTCTTGGGCAGATCCAGGAGTGGGAATGTCAGATCCACTTGCAGCCATGACTAGGAAGCCATGTGACATCCCTTGACTCAAGGTCTCAGTTGCTGGAGCACCTGCTGTGAGAAAAGCTGCTGCCCAGCATATGCCCAGGACTGTAGGTAGATGGCTGAGTTCAGGTGGCCCCTTGGGTAGCACAAGGTGGCTAGCTGGTTGCTTTCCTATGACCTCAAGCCAGGGGTGGAGGGATGGCTGAGGCCTACGCCTCCCAGGGGTTGTGCCTAATCCTCTGGAAGCAACAAAAACGTTGAGTGCAGGAACTCACCTCTCTGACTCTCTCCTGTCTCTAGTGCCACCGCATACACCGGTCGCTCGCCAGCCAGTTCAAGTACGCCCTGGTGTGGGTGAGTCCAGGCGGAGGTGGGTGGGGATTTAGGTCCAGTGTTGCCCCTGGGTTAGGCTCAGAGCAGGATGTTTGCCCTCCTCCACACAGCATCCCCATCCTTTCATGTGGGGGCCGCTATGACTCTTCTGCTTTGTGGAGTGTTTAGACCCACCCAGCTTAGACATGGGCCATCCTCACCTCTGAGATCCCAGGAGAGTCAGACCACTGGGACATTCTTGCTATCTGGGCATGTGGGGCTGCTGATGCCAAGGCCCCCACTTTACCCTGGCATTCATTCCCAGTATAACTCCAGCCTTGGCCAATCTAGAGGCTGACATGGCCCCTCTACCCCATCCCTACCCAGGGCACCAGCACCAAGTATAGCCCACAGCGAGTGGGCCTCACCCACACCATGGAACACGAGGATGTCATCCAGATTGTGAAGAAGTAGCAGCGCCTGCCAGCCTCGTCGTCTGGGAAGGTGTCCCCCCTGGGACACACACAAGCCCAAACAGGAAAAACACAAATACATATGCCCCAGGAAAGGGTTCCCTTGAATCTGTGATGTTTCCAGAAGCTTCTTCAATAGATGATGAAGAGTGTTGGGACAGAGGGGTGAGGTTGAAGGACTTGGGCTTTGTTGGGGACATTTCCCATGAGCCTGATCCCCCTGGTGGGTTTCCATGTTGGGAACTCGTAGCCTATATTCCTACCCCTGATCCCTGTTGGGCACTGAGGGAGCAAGTTACCTACTTACTCCCCAACCAGGGCCTAAAACTGGTGGCAGGCTCCATGCTGGTTGGGGAGATGGGTCCCTGAGGCTGTAGCTACTGTCAGGGTACCTTGTTCCCTCAGCTCCTGCCAGCTTCTCTGGTACTCCAGGAAAGGGCTTTCCTAGGACAAAAGCCCCATAAATACCCCCCACATGGGGCTATCCCCCCACATGGGGCTGTCCCATGGTGGAAACCAGATCACAACCTGAGTGGTCCTAAAGTGCCTCCCTTCCCAGGGCAGCCCCTGCCCAGCACAAACCCCAGGACCCTGCCCTGCACACCTGGGACTGATGAGTTTGGACTCTTGTTTTCTCTCTAAGCCCCTTGCTTTCCTTTCTAAAATAAAGGAATAAAAGTTATTTCTGTTCAGACTAAAGGAAACTTTGTAAACTTACTGGACTCTGTTGCCAGGTTGGGCAGGGGGCTAGGGGGCAGCGATGAACCTGGCAATCAGAGTGGGTATAGCCTGGGCCCTGTGGGAGCAGGCCCAAGCCTGTGGTGATGAGAGTGGGTCTTCCCAGGCCCAGGAGGATCAACCAAGGGCTGGAGAGCCCTGGAAGGCCCCTTTGGTAGTACAAGGTAGTTAGCTGGTTGCTTTCCTATGACCTCAAGCCAGGGATGGAGGGGGGCTGAGGCCTCCGCCTCCCCAGAGTTGTGCCTGTCCTTGTGGAAGAAACAAAAACACTGAGTGCAAGGCGGCAGGGAGGGCTTCCCRGGGGAGGTGTGCCTTTTACAAGCTGACAGTCCTGTCCTGCTAGGAGACGGGTAGAGAGTTCCTCCAGGGCCTCAAGCAGGCTGGAGTGTGGAGGGAGCCACTGCCCAGCTCTCCTGACTGTTCCCGGCTCTCCTGTCAGCTGCTTGCTCCTTTCCAGAGACAAAACAGGAATAATAGACATCATTAAATATACATGGGGCCCCAGGCGGCTGGCGGGGTGGGCTGGGCCTCCCCTCTCACAACAGAGAGCTGCTCAGATGGGTCTGCCGTGCTCTTGGGACCAGACACAAGACCCCCGTTAGGCGGCATGCAGATGGGGAGCAGGCCACGGGACCCAGGTAAGGGGATCCTGGCCCTGGGTCCTTGAAGTCTGCCACTGACCTCGGGTCACAGGGGAGATTTGGGAAGGGGGCAGCCTCAGAATTGGGCCTTGGACCTAACTCCCTGTCTTCCTCTGTAAGATCAGCACACTACCCTCACAGACCCCCTTCATAATGGTAGAAAGCCAAGACRGGTAAATGCTTGGCTTACCTCAGCCCCTTTCCCCATGGTCTGGTCATGAGGACCCAAGAGAGGGATTCTGCCTGGGTGACAGTCATTCCTACTCCTTGCCCTATGGGTGGGTCCTCTGAAATCAGGGAGAGGTTGAGAAGGCCCTGAGCTCACAGGGTGTCCAGCCCAGTCCAGGCCTTGGATGGATACAGGCCCATTTTGTCCCCCAAGCTGTCTGGGAGAGGGTGGGAGATGTAGTCAGAGGCCTGGGGTCCTCAGGCAGTTGGTTCCTCCTGATGGCCAGGCTGTTTCCTGGGCTCTCCCTGTGGATCAGTGCAGTCTCATGTTTTGTGTCCTGGGCCTTCTGATCTATGATCAACATGATTGTACTATCTAAGCCTGAGTGTGAGATAGGGKTGCTGTGCATGATGGCCAGGTTGGTGTGATTCAGCAGCTCACAATGCCCTTAGGGCTGCGGAAGCCCCCTATAGGGGAGCCCCCCAAGGTCCCCAACCCATGCTACCAGGATGAGCTCAAGGGTTGAGCCCTGTTCCTCTTAGCTGCCCTATTCTCCTCACTTAACCTCCCCTTGCAAACTCAGGAGAAGACCTCATTCGGGTCTGTACTCAGGCTGCAGGGCTGCCCTCTGCCCCAGGTGGCATCCCATCCTGGCTGTAGCATTCAAAGTGCAAAAGAGCCAACGGAACAAATGTGTCCCTCTGTCTGTCCAATATCTGTGTGTTCATTCATTCTCCATGGCCCTTCCTCCCCAGCTTAGATTCCACAATTTCTCATTTCAGAACCCTCCTTTAGCAAGGAACTCCAAGCTCCTCTGTCCTGCTCAAGAACTGGGCACCCCCTCCCAGCCCCCCAGGTGCCAACTGCCCAGACGCTGCACAGTAGCTCCTCCAAACCCCTCTGTTCCCACTCCTCCACTTGCTGTGGATCCTAGCTAGAAAACTCCTGCCTTCCCTGAAACACCCCGTGCTCATCTGTACCCCCTTCTCCCGCCATGAAGGAGGAGGCTGCCTCCCTGGGATCTCACGCTCCATGGAGGGTGCATTCTCCTTCTCCCTCACCCTCAAGTCTSTGTATCATGTCTCTCAATATCTTTTTGTCCCTCTCCCTCTCACCTTCTGTCCACTTGATTTGTCAGCTTATCTGTCCAGGTCAGGGCTTCTATGACAGAAAACCACAGGCCAGATGGTTTTAACAACAGAAAGTCATTTCTCACAGTTCTGAGGCTAGACGGCTGAGGTAAGGCGCGGACAGGGCAGGTGTCTCCTGAGGCCTGTCTCTTCCAGTGGCTCCTTATCACTGCATCCTTAGGGGGCTTCCCCACCCTAAGGGCACCAGGAGCTGCTGAGTCATACCTGAGGACCTCCCACCAGAGCCCCAGGTGTCTTCCCACTACACCTCTCTGTTGTAGTTTAGCTTCCCCAGGCTAACCCCAGTGCCAATCTCTTCACCTCACCCCTGGGCACACTCTAACATACCACCCAAATGGCTCCTGATGCCAGGCATTGCCGAACAGACACCATTTTTAATCCATCTCTTACCCTCAGCAAGCACAACCCAGCTGACTGTGGTCTCTTCCCTGCCTCCTCGTCCCCTTCCCCCAGGGTCCTCTCCTCACTCTGTCCCTCTCCTTGGCAGCCCTCACCCCTGCCTGCATCTCACCTACTCTGCTGAAAATCCGTCCCTGCAACTTCCAGGCCTGAGAACAAACCATCTCCTGACTCACCCCTGCATGGTGCTGCCTTGCCCCGAACTGCTGCCTCCCAGAACAGACTTGTGCTTCCACATAGTCATCCCTTCTGCTTCAGAGAACAGTTCTGCCCAAGTCAACCACAATCCTGCCTGGCTGTACCCTTACCCCAACCCCTTCCAACCCCTTCAGGCCTACCTGTTTTACCAGGTCCCAAATGTGTCTGCTATATTTTGTCACTTCTCTGTCCCAGCCAAGCCAATGGTCCCACACCTTGCCTACACTGTGCATCCCCTCCCAACCTTCCCACAGAGACYCTAGAACATTTTTCAAGACCATTTGATGAGAAGCAAAGGGAAGTCCCAGTTGCCAAATGTGTGGCCTCAGGCAACTTGCTAAACCTCTCTCTGCCTGCTTCCTCAACTGTAAAATGAGAAGAATCATTCCCACCTCAGGAATTTGTAATGAGTGTTGGGTGGGCTGTGTGTGGCCTGCACTTCTGAACCCAGGCCCTGCAGGCAGCGACACAGACCCCATGGCTTCCTCTCTGTGGCTCTCTCAGATGAGTCTCTAACATCTCTCATATCAAGCCTTTCATTGATAAAATAGAAAGAATTCCATTCTCACATATGTGAGAATCTAGTGAGATATTCCAGGAAAGCCTTCAGCACTGAACCTGACACAAAGCAAACACTTTGTAGTGTTAGTTATTTTTTTATTACTTCCAAAATGCAAATGCTTCCATGGCTTTCCACTACTTCAGGGATTAGGGACCRAAGCCCTGTCCCAGCCTCATAGGGCCAGCCCCTGCCTGCCATCCTGACTACTTTACATTCTATACATCCCTCTTCATCTGCTCTTGGGGGAGAGGCTCAGAGACATGGCCTAGGCAACCTTCACTGGCATATCAGAGACAGCACTGGTTGTCTTTGCACCTGTAGGAGACCAGCTGTGTCTCAGGCTTGTCCAGTGGCTCAGTAAGGGCCCTCTGCCTCCAGAACTCCCGGCTGGAGTAGGCTCTGGAGTCAGCCCTGCCAAGCCCCTGCCTGCAGCCAGCACCCAGAGATTCTCCCCTCCTATGTGAGGGCCCAAGTACTAAGAGCTCAGCAGGCAGGCAGGCCCAGCCAGGAGAGCRGCTCTGGATCCTTCAAGTCTGGGATCCCCCTCCCTATTCACATGGCCTTGAACAAATCACTCACTTTACCTCTTCGAGTCTGGGTTTCCTAATCTTTTTTTTTCTTTTTTTTATCCTTTCTTTTTTATTTTATCTTATTAGTACCAGGGATTGAACCTAGGGGTGCTTAACTATCAAGCCACATCCCCAGCCCTTTTTATTTATTTATTTTGTCTATGGCCTCCATAAGTTGCTGAGGCTGGCTTTGAACTTATGATCCTTCTGCCTTAGCCTCCCAAATCACTGGGATTACAGGCCTGCACCACCATGCCAGGCTTGGGTTTCCACATCTTAACAATGGAGATGATAATAGTTTCTGCCTCAAGGCCTGTTCAGTGAGTCCCATGAGATCACTGTGCTAATATACCCGGCCAGGGCTTTAGGGCCAGGAGGGCAGGGGGCAGGGGGGCAGTGGGGGGTGTCATATCCGGGCTCAGAAAAAACAACTTCTGTGTCCTTGTTCTCCTTCAATCGAGCAGTGGCCACAGCCCAGAGAGTGGTGAGAAAGAAAGCAGCTTGGAAGGAGGTGACAGAGAATGGCTGTCCCTCTATCCCCTCAAAATCCATACTGCAGAAAGCTGACTCCCTGCATGCCCTTGCCCAGGAAGCTGCTCAGTCGCTCCGGTTTCCATCCACTGTCCTGTCTCCTCTGGATGGTTACCTGAAGCAGGAGCCACCAGTCTCTGGCACCACCTCTCTCAATGGCTGGTACCCTAATGGGCTCTTGAGAGTCTCGGGGAAGAGCAGCAGGAACCAGAGGAGGAAGGTGAAGAGACGGAGACAGTGAGCAGAGGAGGAGAGGCAGACAAGGAGAGAGGAAGGTCTCCTTGCTCCTTGCCTCCATCCAGGAAGACCTCTTGTCAACCCTGAAGTCACAGTTGAGCAGGCTAAGGCTCTGAAGCCACTCCCTGGAGACATGAAGGTGACAAGGAGCAGAACGAGGGCCACGACCTCACTGCTTAGCTGTCTCCCATGCTGCCTTTTAAGCAACCAAAGCATAAGCATTGGGGCCTAACAGCTAAAACCA